TCCATTTTGAAAACTTAACACCTTGATTCTTTTTAGAATGATAATACAACATTGATGAATATATTCCTAGTGATTCCTAGGCCAATATATGTAAGTTTTACGTAGTAACGTTTTGATGGCTAACCTACGAACATGCATTAATTCTACGTAGGTTGCGTACGATATTCCTATGAATATAACAACATAGATTATAACTTGATGTTCTAGAATTAGAGGGGACAACTACTCACCTCCAAGTGAAGGGGTTGAAGCTACAAAGATGACGAGGAACGATGACTACGCTTTGCGCGATTGGCCTAGCTCTCCTTCTCCTTCTTCTCCTTCAACCATGCACCCACCGGAGCTTCGTCAGAGATTCCCTGGGCTGCTGCTGCCTTGACCGAACAAGAGGGAGATGGAGAGTGGGTGTGTGTGTTGAATGAGATAGGGGTTACAAAATGATGATATACATGAATGGGATAGGGGGTTTTATGAAAGGGGAGTGAATGGAATTGAAGAGGGAGTTAATGACAATGATGATGGTGAGTTGAGGGGTTGAGAATGGCGTATGGATGATGGGGGTTACATAAATTTATTTTACTCCGTTATGTTAAAATATGACCTGAACGGTACGCGCTTTTTCCCCCGAACGGGTCCGAATTGAAAACCGTTTACGTTTTTGGAAATAGACAGTCAAAATGAATTTAATGACATGTTCAAATAATTTTTCTAAGAACTTTTTATTTTCCCCAACTCTGGACCGGAACAGTAATTAATTATTTAAAACAATCAATTCTAATAGACCGGGTTGTAGGGCGTTACACCTTGGGCGCACGAGTGAGGACAAAGTGCGCGGGAAAGACTTGTGTTGGTTTGTGGGGCCAGTCTACAATCCTATGAGCGGACACTTACGGCTAGGGTTGGGGCCGGGGTGTTACAATGATTGTGGCAAGAGTATCTCACATTCTCACACTATGGAAGGAACTTCTCGAACACTTACATCATCAAATCAATTGGTCTACTTGGTAGTCATGCTCTTGGTGGATATCCAAATTTTATGGGTATGATAGTCGAATTAGGAAGGAAATTACTAAGGCGAAAAATTAGACTTACTTATGGAGCAGGCAACGTTGGCCTTCAAGGAGCTGTTGCTTCAACGGTCTATAACAATGGTGGTATAGTTAGAGGTTTCATACGAGGGCATATAGCATCATGAGGGGTCTACGGTCCAACGTATGGTGTAGAGTACATAGTTTCCCGCACCTACTGTAAGTACTTTGAGATGAATCATGTTGTGGAAGCTTTCATCGTACTTCCTGGAGGAGTTGATACTATCAAAGGTTTGTTCACCTTAATCTCATGGGCATCCGAACGGTTGCACAGTAGACCTGTTGGTCTTGAATATTGATGGTTATTTCAATAATCTTCTCAAATTTCTAGATGATGCGGTGAGGCATGAGTTAGATTGCGCAGGGACCCCCTGCCCTTCGATGATCATCCTCACCTCCGAATCTTCTAAAGATGTCATATCTTTGGAGGTTCATGCTCTTATGGAAAAGGCAGAGAACTAACTAAACCTGTACTCAAGGTGACTAATGAAATGCCTATGAAAGCTAAGCCCAGCTTTTTAGAAATTTTCTACGAGAATAGAAACCAAATCAAAGGTATTCCTCTCCACAATTCAAAGTGAAGATTTACTCATATTTTTACTTAGGAGTGTAGATTTACTCTTAACTTCTATGTTGCTTTAACTCCAAACTAAACATGATTTTGTACTATGGTTTTTACTCAAATCTGATATCTGAAATCGTATAGTTTGAATTCGCAACTTGATTAGAATCTAGAAACTATAATAACCTTGGTGTTACTTATATTAATAACATTGGGTAGTGCTTGTATTGGAATGTGGTACTATGTATAAACCAGTATCAAAATTAAAATTGTTAACGAGATATATGTTAAATATTACTAATTATGGCCAACACAATTTGTGGAGCACTTGGATTGTGATACGTATGGCCTGGAGTACTAGCATGCATGATAGGCGGCACACTTCAAGGGATTTGCATGGCCAGATATTTGTTTTCCTATTTGGTTTCTTCTATTAGCTAGGCATGTATATATATACGTTTTAATATCCTATCAAAGGCAGAATAGAAAATATATTTTTTATTCATTACTTGTTAATTAAAGAATCAAAGTTTTTTCTTTCAATAAAAAATGATTTAGGATTGCAAGTGACAAGTATTATTGTATTAATGTTCATTTTATGTCTAATTCATGTAATTAATATTAATTTTTTATTTACAAAATTTAAAACGCAAATGTACTTCAAAAAGCTACCCAATTTCAAAGATTCGGAGTCGAGTGGAGTTGGTAATAGTGTTACTGCTCCGGTGTCTCGAGTACAATTGTAAACGATATTATTTTCATATGACTTTATATCTATGTATTAATTATGGTATTTTTCAAATATTAGTTTTAGTTTATTGTTAAATGTTAAGACTTATGAAGTAGTTTGACATGGGAATGAGAGGTAGAGGACCCCATGGTTGTAAAATATTGGATCTGCCTTTGATGGAGATGGCACAAGATCTATGGGATGATATCAAGGCCCAGTTTTTCGTTGTCAATGGCCCACGCATTCAGCAACTTAAGCGGGAATTGACAATGTGTGATCAACGTCTCTTGACAATCGCTTCCTATTATGGTCGTTTGAAGAAACTTTGGGATGATTTGAACGATGTTGATCATTTTCCTACTTGCACGTGTGGTAAATGTACATGTAATCTTGCTCAACAATTGGAGAAAAAGAAGGATGAAGAGAAGGTGCATCAATTCTTGATGGGCCTTAACGAAGCTTTGTATGGTCATCTTCGTTCCACCATACTCTCGCAAGAATCGTTTCCCACGACTGGCCGCGTATAACGCATCATGACACAAGAAGAAACAGCACGGGCGACCCAGGGTTGCGCATGACCCGAGAACACTGCCTTTGCAGCACGGCTCACCACCGTGGATAGGCCACGTGATAAAACCGGGCATTGTTCACATTGTAAAAAGCCTGGCCATGACAAAGATAATTGTTACCAACTTCATGGCTATCCCGAGGGTTGGGGCCGTCATAACAGCGGCGGACGAGGTCGTGGGCGTGGCATCTCTGCTGGCAGG